GTCAGGGTTGGTCACTCGGGATTCCTTGAATCCCAAAGTACGAACCACCCAACTACCAGTCGGCGAACAAGTTGTGTTGGCAGACAAGCTTAGGGGCTAATGTTGATGCCATATCCTCGGGTATCCTGACTATAGGAATTGCCGACTACCGACTCCAGATCAGAGAAGACCCGAAGGCCTACGACTACCCAATTCGAGGAAGGACATCTTTGGATTGTGTCAAGACTCTGACTAGGGCACGACTCCTTAGCTTGTAGAGTAAGTTGATCCTGGATATAAATAGCAACACCCCTAGTTGTAATCACACCAATTCTCATAGGAATAGACACAATGTACTTGTGATCTCATTGAATATAGAATACAAACAAGTAGCAACTGGACGTAAGGCTTTTACTCGCTTCTGGGAGTCCAAACCAGTATAAATCTCATGTCCTAACTGTGATTATTCTTCGCACCAAGAAAGGTTCCCCAAGAACCAAGTATCTGTCAGTAAAAAACACTGACACAACACTTAGGATGAGGTGCCCACATCACTAGAAAACCATAGAAACAAACCACACTCAATTCAGAGTTCGAATGCACCCAGAATCGCCTTCGACATTTTTGCACTCGTGTTGTTCCTTGTCCTCATGGACAGTTTGGCGTGCTCCCGGATGGTCTGCCCAAACGAGCATTCATCCCCACGGATCCTCCACTTGAACAACATTCATCCCTGTAGACCATCGGTCCGAACATCCACCGGTGCACAACAGTAGCCCATGACTTTGTAAAATCCATAGAAAGTGCATTTCAGCTTCAAACATTATGAAACAAGTTTTGTTGATTTACTTATAGTATTATCTATCATCTAAATATGATTTTGACACCAAAAATATATTTTAATTTTTAACTAAAAATTAAGTCCATTCTTTGCTTATTAAATATATAACTCCTTTCCTAGGTCTTCAAAAACCATGAAACCAATTTTTTAGCTTCCTTTGAGCATGTGCTATCTAGAAAACATGTTTTGTGCATAATCTCATTGCATAAATACACATAGCATATCTATTATGCTTCACATAGTGCTCCAACACTAGAAACCTTCTCAAATATATGTGGTTTTGTGCTTTACTTCGACACCTTGAGCTCATACACCTTCTCAAATATATGTGGTTTTATCCTTCCCAAGCTCAAGAAGCACAATGAGTAATCACAACCATTAATCCAATGATGGTTTGATTCAAAGTCCTTGGTGGAGCTTCACATGGATTCCTGGGCCCCCAAGGGAGCTTAGGATAGGCCCCATGGCTCACAACCACCTTTGTTCAACTCCCAACAACCATGGAGGAGCATCTAGCACTATAGGATGGTGAGGCGGTGGATCCTAGGGTCGGCTGACCATAAGGGGCGTCGCCCGACCCTGCCAGGTCTCCACCAACCACCCTTCATCTCCTACAAGTACACCCCTTCCTACTACACACTATAAATAGGTGTGTTGAGCTATGGGTGAGGCATCGCTGAAGATCACTCAAGATCAAGTCAATGGAGGAAGCTCTTGTTAGTGTAGTCAACTCCATAGTAGCTAGGCTAGTAGTAGGAGATAGAGTTAGAGTAGGAGCTCTACTCAGAGTTCAGAAGAAGTCTTCCGAGTCTGCTATAGCTCTTTTTGTACTTTTCCTCTTTTGTATACTTACTTTATTTGGAATATACTTCTACTTCTACTCAATTACTTTATTTAAGCCTACTTACTTGTTGAGTATACTTCGAGCTTTGTCCTAATTAAGCATAGTAGTTTAGTTAACTACCATGTGTAGGGTGGTTACCTTCCATAGGATCACCGTCTAGTTAGGGTGCTTTGATTTTATTTCATCGGAGCTCAGATCAAAGTAGTGAGTTCATAGATTAAGCTTGGTGCTTAGGCTATAGCTTGTCTATGGTTATGACTAGGTCTCCGGATAGTTAGCAGTAGGTGGCAAGTGGCCATCCTCTCTATTCTACCACGATAGGTCAAGTTATTAAATCGTAGAGCTCATGGCAATTTGTCTAGTTAACCCCTCCTAGGGCTAGCTAGCCTGTTGCGCCCCAAAGTGCTTGTGTATCCCTCTATCTCTTGGTTTAGCTAAGTTGCTATAGTTTATTGCTCAGGTGTGTTTGATAGGAGAAGTATCATAGTACTCTTTTACTCACTGTCCCTCTCACACTAGCTACGCTGTCTACTTTTTTTTATCTAGCTACCTTCTATAGTGATCATTAACCTCTCCCTTATTGTTAATTCCTGAAAACAATGCGCACCAATCGTTTACCCTAGACTAAGGTTATGCAATTGCTTGAGAACTTACATAAGAATCCTATTTATCAATCATCTTAGCCACACACTTTTCTATGGGAATACGACACTAGGAATACTCCCGAGCGAAGTGCTACTCCAATATTTTCTGTGCGCTTGCGAAATATCCAATAGACATAAGAAATAACAGCAGGGTGTAGCGCTATGCTAATCTAGGGTTCAGCGGGAGTCGAGACATCCCTATTCAATTCTTTCATCGATCTCTTCTATAGGAGCCCATGCCTCCCCTTATATACCGAGGAGGACGTGGGGTACCAAGCAAATGGTTCTCTACCTAGGGGCTTCATTCTTACCCTGGGCTTCGGTCTTCTTTTTTCAGGCGCCACTCGTCCTCCTTTATCTTGTAGCCAGGGGCTGACAAAACCACAACCACTCCTTGGCACCACTACTATAGCCTGGTGTTCATCACCAGGTGCTGTCTACCATAATGACGCCTTCCCTCGCTGAGTCTTCTTGTGGCTTCCTTAGTACGTCGGGATCCCATGGGAGAGGCTACCAAGTGGGCCTGGTTGCCCTGCTCCGTGGGCTTCGAGGCGTCCTTGTCGTGATGTGTCACGCCCTAGGCATGACCCTACCGAGGGAGTGGCCGGCAAAACCTTGTTGCTTGTGGAACGGGATAGCGGTGTGATCCTTCTACGCTTGTAAGGCTCTGAGCACCTAAAAGATTTTGGAGTTAGCTTCTACCTTGGCCTAGGATGAATGCTCATCCCGAGCCAAGATTGGGATGACTGCGGGGGTCGCGGCTTGGCCGGGGCTCCCCTTAGGCTAGGAATTCCACCAATCTTGGACGATCCCCCGAGCCCTGAGCGAAGGTAGCCTGAGCAAGGGCACTGCTTTTCTTGGCTCGCCCTTTTGATATCAGGACTCCCTTGGGAGAGGGCCATCTACAGGCTGCCGAGCCATCCCTTGTTTGCCAGAGGGTGCATGTGAACGCACCTGATGGGTGTAGCCCTCGAGCCCCTGGCTTGGAGAGTCAATCAGGGATTTAGCTAGACTATCACGTCCTTAGTCCGGAACTTAACATACCCCTATGTTAGATTCTCGTCAACTAGTATATATGAAGTTACTTTGAATCAATTGAAATAGACTCTAAAATTTGGCGGGAAAACACGATTTCAAATATGGCGAGAAACTTCAAAAGTGTAAAATTGATTTTCAGTTGCGGTTCAGTTTGAGCAGAATCGCACTTGTAAATATATTTTCAGGGATAGTTTGTTTAAGCCAACAACCCTTAAAAATATGTTTTTAGTAGCGGTTGTGTTGCCGCAACCATCGATAAAAACCAGTTTCAAAGGCTGTTGCCATTCGGCAACCGCCATTGAAAATCAGTCTATAAGGGCAGATCTCTTATAGCAAGCGCCCCTGAAAATCCATATATGTCGTAAAGCAACCGCCTCCTGAAAATCTTAATGGAACCGTCCCTAAAAATATTTTTTCAGAAACTTTTAAATGTCCGACGTTATAAACGCACTATCTTTACGATTGATAGTATAGTGGCGGTTTTTTGAACCGGTCCTAAAGATTGATTTTAAGTGCCAGTAAAAATCATTCATGTGCTTATGTACTACGGTCCTTATAAGACCTTGGCTCGTATTGGCGCAGTTTCGTACTTTCATCTCCCTTGGAGTTTCCTAAGGGCAGCTAGGTACTAGACCCTGTCCATTCTACTGTATCTAGAGAAAATACCGGTGATTCATGGATAATTTTTGCAATGTCATCCAGTTAAGAAAGGCAATGAAGTTGTCCCTCAAGTTCGAGTGAAGTGGATAAGTTTGCTGCACCCAGCATCAACCTGGGAAGATCTGTACCTGTTAACAGAAGCGTTTTCCTCGTCTAGAACAATACGATGAAATAGTTATTGTTCAGTGGAAGCGAGTGCCATTTGATATAACGTTTTGCAAGATGCATTTGATCGAACTACTGGTATATGTCAACTTATTTGTTCAATGCTTGTTAAATTCGCTGATATTTGGTAGGTTGCCGATGAGTGGGCAAAGATGGAGCCTGTTATGTGCCTGCCTACGCACCACGCCGCAAGCGTGGCGGACGATTCGTCCGTATTTGGCAAGCCCGTTGCAGCAAAATAAACTGGCTGTGCGTGGCGAGCGCTGGCAGCGCCAAACCTACGGCAACTAATCAAACATGTGACGCAGACGTGGCTTGGTGCGGTGACTTCTGGCTGCGATCCAAATACACCTAAAGTTGTAGAGTTTTGCTCTGGTGGTCCTCCTCAAAAAAAAGTTACATGTATCTTAAAGCACCTAGGTAATTAATTTAATTAAACTTAATTTTATTTGGATCTGGACACGGGCTGACCCTCTTCGTGTCCAACTCAAGCCCAGCCGCAGCCCACCCCAATCCAAAGTCATTCTCGATCTGGAGTTACGCACTCACGCACATCACTCCTATCTCCTCCCTTCATTTCTGGTTGGAACAGGAACTGGAGAGGTGATGAACATGAACCTTTCTTCATTGCTGAGTTATCCTAGATTATTATATGAGTATGACTGTAGCCACTTCTTATCTCCCCATCCATTTTAATTAGAAAATCTACCTCTCATTTTCTTTCATGTTTCAAACAAGGACATCGCTTACATCTCCCACCAAAAATGGGATGCACTGAAATAAAAAAAAAATCAAGAATGACAAGTATGAACAAATTGCGCACTGGGCTTCACTGCTTGTTCCTCGTCCTGCTCCCCGTCTCCTCCGGCGTCCTCTCCTTCCTCGCTACCGGTGGTGTCTTGGTTGACACCAACAGCGACCTCGTCATGGCAGCGGCTGCTGCTCCATCGGCTACCCGGGCATGGTCCCGGCGTGGTCTGTGCACGTCTGACTTGTGGTCAGCAGACGATGCTGGTTCTTCATCTTTGGTTCTCGCCGCCAGATGGGAGATGACGCCGACGGAGGCCCGATCTGCGGCGCCCCCGTCAGCAGCATGGCTGCCGCCAGCGGCACCGATGGTCCTCTCCTGCTCGACGAAGAGAAGCTGCACAATGGTTCGCAGTGGCATCCGGTCGTTGGCTATCGCCTGCGCCCGCACGTCCGGCGACAGCTTCCGGCAGTCGATCAGGCGGCACAGCCGCTTCCTGTCCGCCTTGCTCAGCTCCGGGTGCTCCTGCACGCCGTACGTACGTCGCAATATATTGATCAACTCAAATCCGTCATAGAAGTTTACACATACATGTTTCTTTGAGCTTTATTTCTGACCTTGAGATAGATATCGATGGCGTAGTAGAGGCCGTCGTGGTCACTGCGGGCGATGTCCGGCAAGCATTCGACGAGGTGAACGAACTTGCCGACAGGGAAGTCGCGGTCCAGCGCGATTGTGCGCAGGTACTCGTCGAAGATCCTGGCGACCTTCTCCATGGCGGCGCTCATCCGGCGCCGCTCGTCGGCCGCCGTGGGCCGCTGGAACTGTGCCAGGAAGTGCTCCAGCACGGCCTCCGCCGCGCCGACGTCGTACGTCTGCGGGTCCGATGGCAGCGGGATGAGCAGGTCCGCGGCCCTGGCCTCGTCGAGCTGGGAGCCGGCCTGCCGGATCAGCTGCGCGCGCGTGGACGACGACGTGCTGACGTAGTTGGCCACCCGCAGCAGCCTGAGCAGGAAGCGGCCGGTGACCGACCCCGGCTCGCCCGGAATCATCGTGACGATGGACTCGAGCACGCGCCGCTGCTTCGCCACCAGCGTCTCCTCGGCGGCGGCCGACTTCTGCGGCGGTTGGTGTAGGACGCCGTTCTCTACGCCGCTGCTGCCAACGTGCAGCGGGTCGACGAGGTGCTTGCACGCGAAGACGTGCAGCGCCTCGCCGATGAGCGGCGGCGAGAGCAGGCGCGACGTCCGGACGGTGGAGATGACGGAGCGGAAGACCTCGATGTCCAGCGCGGAGATGTCCTCCGTCCACCAGTCCTTGGGGACTGACTGGTGGGGTTTCCTCGTGTTGTAACCTGGCCTGGTGTACGTGTAGGACCACACGATCTTGGACGGCGGCATGAGGATCTTCTCAACAATGGAATCGATGCAGGGCTGCACGATGCGGCTCTCGCTCCAGCCGGAGATCCGCCACGCCGCCTGCAGCGCGGCGACCGAGTCCTTCCACCCCTGCAGGACGCAGGAGTCGAAGAAGGTCTCGAGCTTGGCCACCAGGTTGCCCTTGGCGACGGCCTCCGTCATCCGGAGGAACCGCGCCGCCAGCATCGCGGGCACCAGGTTCCCGGCGCTGATGCTGATGGAGATGCCGTAGCAGAACTTGGCGCACAGCTCGAAGGCCTCCTCGCCGCCAGGGATGTCGTGCAGCGCCACGGGCACCGGCTCCTCGTCGCAGTCGTCGGTGTCGGAGCAGAGGTGCTGCAGGAGGCCCCACTTGAGGAGCAGGGGGAACTACAGGTAAACAACACCTGAAATCAAGAGGCTGGACATTGGAAATGGAAAGGGGCCAGGCCAACCCACAGCACAAAATTCGCTTCTATCTTTGTCACCACTCAACCCACTTAGTAATTTGTCATCAAGAAATGCCTTTGAATTCATAATTGTGAACTCAAGTCTTTTTTAAGTCATCAAGGTACTGGAAAATCGCAAAATGAACCAGAACTTGTGAGACAGTTTCGTTGTTTCTTATTAATAAGATCACGAAAACGATCAATATGGGCCTGCACTTGGTTCATTTTTTTCCTGATGTCTATTGGTGCACCCAAAAAAAATCTTGACTATCTCTTGGTTCAGTTGAAAAAAATTGCAAGCGAACAATATGAGCCAACTTGGTTCATTTATTAAGATGACTATAGCGAACAATATTTCATAGCTCGCTTTTGTTTTGAAAAAAAAAAGGTCACATTGTTTGCATACTTTGCAAGCCTGATTGCAATCGACGTCGTCAGAAGAGCCCTGACCAAATTTCAGCTGCAAATGATGTAGAACCAAGAGAATGAAAAAAAGTTCATAATTCATGGCTACCTTGCCACAGGTCAACCACCAGTTCAAATGTAAAAGTGATACATATGTGAATCTGTCAAAATAGTCTCAGATCGAGTTCTCTTCATGAATGCATTAGTTGCTAAGCTCTATATCTCTTTGCTTAGTGAAATGTAAAATACCAAATGCTTGATTCAGTCTGAAGCTACTTTGTTTGCATATATTCACCAAATATACTAGTACAAGTTAGGTTGCCGTCACAGAGACGTAGGAACCAAAAACAGGGCTCATGGAAAAACCAGAAGCAAGCGCATAAAAACACAGTGCTGCAGAACCACAATGGACTGTTAGTAGTTTCCAACCCTTGAAGCAGATCATAGATTTCATCACTTGATCAGTTTACAAATTGCCAATAAACAACCCACTTTCAGTGGTATACACGAGACAACCTAATGAAGAACTGGACAATCTATTCCTGACCAGGTTTGCATATTATTATTCAGAAGAAGCTTTTGAAGCGTGTATCTGAAAAAGCGTGAGACGGCTATTCTTTATGCCATTGCGTGTCCGGTTCAGCATGTGAACTACGAAAATCTTGCCAAAGCAGATCCTCAGGCCTATGAACCAACCGAGATTCGTTCTTCATTAAGCATTTTATTAGCTACTAGTGTAACCAAAGATAGAATTACTTTGATGCCATCATTAGGCTTTGATCTGCGCTAATCATTGCAAGGGGCGACTTAGCATCTTTAGATCCGTGACAATGCCTATGGAAAGAAAGTGGCAACATGTGAAGCGATGAACTATTAGAGAAAGATGGATCGAGTTCAGCACCCCCATCCTAATCTATGTTCATCGAATGCCTTAATTATTTGGACTTTTTGTAAAAGGTAGTGGCTATCAAATCTCTGAGCCTTTACAAGTGGTTGCAACTACAGTTGATTCTTGATTGACAGGAATATGTTTTCTCAATCAACCTTGTGCTTTCAGTGTAGATCAAATCTTTTCAGGGCAGATGTTCCTTGCATTGCATCAGATTGATACGGGTAATTCAGTTGACTTGCAAGTTCCTAGAAACTACTTTTGGGTCACTGAAACGAAGACAAATATATCTCTCTCTCAAAGCTTCGAAAAGAAACGATGAACTATTTGATTAGCACTCCTCGAGAGAATGTATGAGAGTGTTTCATAAGAGGAGACGATGATCACTTTCTTTTGCATATAAATAGAAAAAAAAACATTCGTACCTTGTGTAGCTGATACTTGGTGTTGTTGACATGGATAATGAGATCGGCGGGTATGTCTGACACTACTGACCTGACAAGCCATAACAATTCAACACTGTTGAGTAACTGTACAATTTTTAACAAAGCATTTGATTTGACAAGGAACAAATTTCATAATTTCCATATAAAATGCAACATCCTACATGACATTTACCTGACTGCTTCTTCGGTATAAAATGTATCAGGTTTTGTACCAAGCTTCATGTACTTCATTGCGATATATTGTTGACCTAATCCTGGTAATAACATAAGATCACTTAATCCACTGCCTGCTATAGCTGAATTACTAGTCCACATCAACATATTTGAAATAAGAGGAGCATCAAAATTAGTTGAACAGTCGGTTTCCTCCATTTTCAGGGAAAAAACAGAGATGACACAAATTTGATTCTTTCCTTCATAATCGAAATAATAGTTTTTCAGAAAAAAGAAACTCTCTGACAATCGCTCAAAATTATGTATTTTTTGGAAAACATAGCAAGATATCTGTGGGAAAAAATGAAATTCTGTGATTATCGCTCAAAATTGCATAAATTTTTCATGCCCATGTCAAAGAATGTCGCAACTGAATAAATAAACAAAAACAAAAAAAACAGAGCTAGATATCGTGTGGCAAGGATTTGCAGCAAAAAGTTCAGCAGTCAGTCACTGTCTCACTGAATATATCCAGAACACTGGCACAAACACAACAGCTGGACTCGTATTCAGTGCACATAAAATCTCAATTCATCCAAGACTTCACACTAATTCATTTCATTGGCAAATTCTTAGAACCTGATACAAAAAACATGAAAAAACGTGATAAAAGCACAACTACAAAAATGCCAATAAATTGTTCAAAACTTCCAAAACTCAAGAAAAGCTCTCTTGCAGCAAAACAGATGTGCTGTATCATGGTAAAGTGGATCCATACCTTGATGAATTAAAAAGAAAAACCTCTGAAGCCTGAAGATCTGCCAGCTAAAAAGCTGGACCTCAAGCCCATGGAAAATGTGAGGTGACAGGGGTGTGGCCCTTCTCATTTGGAGAAAAAGCGCAATCGGCCACTTCCATATATATATATATACTCTAGCAAGAGAGGAGCTTTGAGGACCACACTTCCCATTGTGTGTGTTGGTCTGCGTGTGGCGTGCTCTTTCTTGATAGCTAGCTTTGGGTGAGCCCCATAGCCCATCCTACCTCTCTCCGTGCTTTCGCCTTCGTAATATCTTGGTGAAAGAGGGTATATAATATTGAGATGTTTCTTGTATGCACTTTTTTATTTGGAGTTTATGCAAGCATGACTTCACAATTAGGGAGTCACACATGCACATGATGGCGTATTAAGGGTCTTGTGGATTGATTAGGCTGACTCACCTTTTGTTGATGGTGTAGTGCTGATGTGACTTGTGCCCAGACCACAACACACACACTCATAATCCAATACAGAGACAGGGTGCTGGCCACATTAGTTACAAAGTTGCGAGTGGAAGATCAGGCCTCATTAGAGGCAGCTTTTTAAGGAAACAAAAAAATCCAGGATAAGGTAATCTAGATTTTCCTCAAGGGATAGATGCTATGTACTACTTGGTTGATAGTGAAAATTAAAAAAAAAATCCTTCTATGTGATGTTTTTGGAGGAAAAGAAAAATCCAGAAGGGAAAGATTTCTAGGAGCTGGAATCCCCTGAAATCTGGTGAAGTCAGTTTTGTGCTTGTGCACCTAGCAACTAGCATCTCCCCACCAGTGCCCAAAGCATCAAGGCATTAGGGAAGACATATGGGACCTCCATGCAACTCAAGTCCCTGGAAGCCTCATCATGCACCAAACTCCAGCTTGTAGCATAAACATGTAGAGAGAGAGAGAGAGATGGAAAGGCAGGAGGACAAACAGTGGTGATAGCACTAATACCCTGTGCTGCTTTCAGATGTAACAGTGCTAGCTAGTAGCTCACCTCAAGCAGGCCTCACCCCACAAGGCTCGGCTCCACCAGACACGCAGCACTGGTTGCTTGCTGTTGGCCACTTGGCATGACCCCAGTGTCTATTTATGCATGCAGGCTTGCCATGAGTAGTTTGAGCTAGCTAGCACATGCAAAAAAAAATGGATGAATTTTGTTTGGTTTGCTTTCAAGTATACCAACACTTGTCTCAAGTTTTGCCGAGATTGCGACGCCTTTCGGTTTCTTTGAAATACTGAATGAACCCCTTAACTAGAGGGATGTGGACTGAAGGTCTGAAATGAACATCAAGTGCAGCTAGCATCATGGAATGTATGTACAAAAGATGCCAGGTTCATTGCAAGTGAGGGGGGGGGGGCGGTATGATGGAAAATATTGGACCATGCGCGACACAGGGATGTTTGCATGCAGCTGGTGCCATGGCAAAATTGGTACAGGTAGTATTCAATGAATCAACAGCTAATTCTTTTTTTTTTTTTGGAAAATTCTTGAAGGATGGACAGAAAATGCAAAATAATTTATATATGTGAACGTACGCGTGTCGACTGTGCCAATTAAAGAGCATTACTTTTCTAGCATGGGAGAAGTGCACTCCGTGGACGTTTTTTATACCTCAAACTAAAAATTGAATAACCCCTGCATGTGCATATTAAAATTGGCTGCAGCAAAAAAAAACTCGATCTGCGGGGTAACACAGCACCGGGTATTATGCTTCAGAAGAAGACATTCTCACACAGGTCAAGAAAACTCCTGAACCTTTGTCCCACCCATACACAGCGGAACCGTAGCTCTGGTGAGAATGGGCTTGGGCTTTAGCGTGGGGCAGACGACGGGATTTTTTTCAACGCGCAGATAAACTGCGCCTCCTCTGGCTAACAAATCCGCCCCCGAGGAGGTTCGAACTCTAGCCGGCATGGTACAAAGCAAACAAGCAGACCAACTGGTCTAACGTTTGCTTGCAATTGGCTGCAGCTAGAGATTCAAAAATTAAACCAGCAAGGTCATATCAAACATTTGTTTTGCGAAAATAAAATTGCCGAGAAACTAAAATCATCTTGCTGTGTATTACATAGATAACTTGGCGAGAAGTGAGCATGGTGGCGTTGCAAGGCTAATCGTCCCCGCAAACTTACCATGGATCTAGAGCTCTATGCTGATCGAGAAGCAGGCGTGCATGGAAGCAACATGGCAATTCTCGTAGAGAGAGAGAGAGAGAGAGAGAGAGAGACCGCAAACTTACCATGGATCTAGAGCTCTATGCTGATCGAGAAGCAGGCGTGCATGGAAGCAACATGGCAATTCTCGTAGAGAGAGAGAGAGAGAGAGAGAGAGAGAGATTACCTCAATTAGGATTCGCGCATGCTGCAGCTTACAGGGGTCTGCTTGGAGGCTCTCTTTTTCCTTTGTGTGTGTGTTGAGACGAGAGAGAGTAGGAGTGGTTCTTGCAGTATGAGGATCGGAGTGCGGAGAGGGTGGGTTTAGGCCTCCATGAGCTAAGTTATATGGGAGGCCACAAAAAGGGGAAGATGTTGACAATCCAGAGATATCCTCCTCCCTCAAAATGCCTCTCTCCTCCCTCGCTCTCACATGTTCTAGTTCTACACATAAGATTCAACTTCTTGTTGGGCGAAAGTTCTCATGAGAGAGAGAGAAGGCCAGGATCTTCATGGCCCCACAAGTCGGCCGAGGATTGTGTATTATTGCCCTCACTAGCTTGATCCATCTCTCAATAGCTAGACCAGGAAATAAAAGCAGCATGATTATATTAGTCTGGGATGGGAAAACCATGTGTTGGTTTATTTTTCATTCTTCTATATATTATTAGAAAATGATTTAATTATCTCTTATATATAGTAGATAAGTTGCTGTTTAACGGCCTCAATTAAATCTAGTTGTGCCGGCCGTACCTTTTCTATCATAAATTAACTTTTAAAAGTACACATCCCTTCGATTTCCCCTGGATTACAGATGTTCTTTATTGCTATGGATGGATTAGTCGTCCTTTTTGCTAAAGTAACGTATAGTTGTAGAGACAGCTACTGTACATATTTTTCATGTACGTGCTACTTCAACCAGCAGATCATTAAAGCATTTCGTCATTCACGCACCTCTCCACATGTCAATTGTTCAAGTATGTGTAAAATCCATATCTTTTATTTACTTAAAACATTAACTTTTAGGGGAGCTACTCTTATATAAAGAAAACTTTTAGAGGAGCTACGTATTTACTTGGTGCATTCTGATAGAAACATTTCAACGATGGGACCATGTGTATGATTGCGAGGTGGACGGGTACGGTGCTATCACTGCTATAAGTTCCATATTACTCATTTCTAATGAAACATTCCATATTCCATATTTTACTCATTGTTTAAACTCCATGAAAGGATCCATTGATCAGTTTTTCCCTACTACATAATGATTTTTCTTGATCTATTTTTGTGTATACCTTTGCTAGCTTCGGGGGTATGGCGTTACACCCCAGATCAACACAATACTGCCGTTACAAACACCCCATCACTGTTAGATTTTTAACCGGCACAACCAAAGTGGCAGTGATGAGGGTTAGCTATCACTGTCGGTTCCTATAAATCAGCAGTGTTCTGCAACTTCACTATCGGTCTTTTACATAACCCGGTAGAGTTTAGTTCCACCAACACTGCCGGTTCATGAGACCACCCGACAGTGTAACCTCGAACATCACTGTCGGTTTGTTTCTTTAGCCGGCAGTGTTGTCGTAACCATTACTACCGGTTTTGGACAAGACCCGGCAGTAATGTCTAATCAACGCTGCCGGTTTCTGGCTCAAGCCGGCAGTGCCATCTTGTCCATCACTGTCGGTTTGTTGCTAACCGGCAGTGATGACCCGTTCGTATTTTATTGTTTTATAATTTATTTTAATTTATATTTTTTCGTGGAATTGGGTTTCGCTTTATATACGCTACGTAGACAACATGTCCATCAATATTAAATAATACAAATATTACGGTTACAGTTCAAATGTTCTTATCAAGATTTCGATCCCACAAAATAAAAAAGAAATTATTCGATAAGATGAAGCATGCTTCTCGGACTTCTTACAATAATCTAGTAAGCCACTCTGGGCCATACGGGTCCTTGAACTTCACGGATTGTGCAATGGAAAATACTCCACCTTTTTTTCAATACCTCGGCTAAGATGAATTTTGCCAGCTCCGATTGCAGTGCGACGATCTCCATGTCTAATAGCCTTTCGTAGTTATATTTCTTGCGCTGTCGTTCAAAAAAGATGATATTCAAAGAGGAATCAGTAAATTATTTTGTTGAGTTATTAACAGACATAAATGAAATGGGGATTATACACACCAACTTATCTGCTTCTTCGTATTTCTTGCCGATGTAGCGAAGCATTGCCCACATTACATAAAACCCGCAT